TCACCCACCGGCACTCATCCAGCTCCTTATTTAACGTCGCGGCCAACGACGGGAAATTGGGATTGGGCACATCAACAGGGATTGGGCACATTAATGTGCTGGGGCCGAACCCACTAACCCTGCCGGCTGTCCAGAGCGAGGAAAATCTGGCCGCCGATGGCATCCCGGGGAGGCTCCGTCTTGCAAGCGCCATGCCGGTCTGCCGGGCAGCCGTCCGCCGCCCAGATGCCGCCACGAAGGTGCCGTGAGGCAAAGTCCCAGCTAGTGTCCCGGCTGGGGTTCGAACTCGTGCCTGTGGTATCACCCACCGGCACTCATCCAGCTCCTTATTTAACGTCGCGGCCAACGACGGGAAATTGGGATTGGGCACATCAACAGGGATTGGGCACATTAATGTGCTGGGGCCGAACCCACTAACCCTGCCGGCTGTCCAGAGCGAGGAAAATCTGGCCGCCGATGGCATCCCGGGGAGGCTCCGTCTTGCAAGCGCCATGCCGGTCTGCCGGGCAGCCGTCCGCCGCCCAGATGCCGCCACGAAGGTGCCGTGAGGCAAAGTCCCAGCTAGTGTCCCGGCTGGGGTTCGAACTCGTGCCTGTGGTATCACCCACCGGCACTCATCCAGCTCCTTATTTAACGTCGCGGCCAACTACGAATTTTGGTGTGTGTGTGTGTGTTACAGGGATTGGGCACATTAATGTGCTGGGGCCGAACCCACTAACCCTGCCGGCTGTCCAGAGCGAGGAAAATCTGGCCGCCGATGGCATCCCGGGGAGGCTCCGTCTTGCAAGCGCCATGCCGGTCTGCCGGGCAGCCGTCCGCCGCCCAGATGCCGCCACGAAGGTGCCGTGAGGCAAAGTCCCAGCTAGTGTCCCGGCTGGGGTTCGAACTCGTGCCTGTGGTATCACCCACCGGCACTCATCCAGCTCCTTATTTAACGTCGCGGCCAACTACGAATTTTGGTGTGTGTGTGTGTGTTACAGGGATTGGGCACATTAATGTGCTGGGGCCGAACCCACTAACCCTGCCGGCTGTCCAGAGCGAGGAAAATCTGGCCGCCGATGGCATCCCGGGGAGGCTCCGTCTTGCAAGCGCCATGCCGGTCTGCCGGGCAGCCGTCCGCCGCCCAGATGCCGCCACGAAGGTGCCGTGAGGCAAAGTCCCAGCTAGTGTCCCGGCTGGGGTTCGAACTCGTGCCTGTGGTATCACCCACCGGCACTCATCCAGCTCCTTATTTTTTTTTTGGCGGCATTTCTGACGGTGAACGCCAGGTGGAAAGCAATAATTCGCTCTATGGCACAATGTCGGGGCTGTAGCTCATATGGTAGAGCGTCCGCTTAGCACCGCTTTGCCACCGCTTATCTGCGGAAGGTACCGAGTTCGATTCTTGGCAGCTCCAGTGAATACATTTTGTCCATTTGTTTTGTGTGTAGGCTTGTTATATGTTCCGGCGGCTATCTATATGTTCCGGCGGCTATCTTCCTCCGCCACAAATCTGCATTCCGCTGCCTCTGGCCCGTGGCGAGGATGACTCACAATCTCCACGGCGGACGGGCAACAACTCGAGCAGTAGGCAATGCGGCAAATCTTGCAAGCTGTGCATTTGCATCAATTGCAGGTGGCGGCCGAGGTGCTGGTGGTTCTGGTGTTTTGCAGCCGCTGATAAGGTTCGCGAGTGGGACTGGCTGAGCAGGTTGGGATTGGAGGTGGCATTGGAGTTGGCAGGCCACATCAGAGCTCTCATCCGCAGCGCATGCCACAACCGATGCATCACCAGCCTTGGTGCACGCAGCACAGCTGGATGGGGAGCATGGTGGGTCTGATGCGGAGCCCTGCAGGCAGAACACCAAAAGTCAGAAGAAGAAGAAAAACTGCCTCTCGGCTGGCTGAGCACCAAAGTTTGGCTCAAAATGACGGCACTCCACGCGAGCTGGCTTTTGGTCCACAACACACCTCGCTAGAAACATCTGAATCTATGCGTGCCGACTTGTCAAGGGCCGAGGGGGTTATGGTGGCCCTCTTGCAGCGTCGCCTGGCAAGTGCCCAATAAGAAAGCCCAACCAAGATCAAAGCAACTGCCGCGCCGACTATGCCACCCACAATGGCAGCCGTCGGCGTGCTGCTGCTGGCAGGGAGATTGGAGGAGGCTGCCACTGCCGGCTGAGACCATTGCGGCGGGCTGGTGGCTGTATTGGATGGTGGTAGGGGAGGGCCCTTGCTGCCACCATGTGTTGCAGGCGGCCGCCGACCCACAACAGGGGTGGGGGCTGCCCCTAGAGCTGAAGGCAAAGGCCGGGTGCTGGCTGCCGGGGGCGGTGATGGCACACCGGCTTTTTGCGGTGCTGATTGGGGTGGCTGGAGAGAAGGGGAGGGAGGTGGGGGAGGTACCAAGGAGGGAATGCCAAGGTCAACACCACCCTGCATAGAAACAACAAACCCTCAGTTGGTAGCGCAAAGGCTTGGGCATGCTCTCTAAAGGTCTGAAGCCACTTGGCAATTTCGCTCACCCTGAATGGCACCACTATGGCCGGCGCTGCCAACGTGGCACCGGACAGCGCAAGAACTTTGGCCAGCGTGCCGTCACTGCAGTCATGGAAGCAGACAATTAATGCCAACAATGCTTGGATGGTCCTCTGCACGGCTGGAAAAGAGCAGCTTCAAGCAAATTTGGTGGTTGCACTCGAGATAGCTGCACTCACCTGAGCGCCCTGCGCGCGGCGTAGTACATCTTGAACGGCTCTAAGCCCCCAACAATGATGACGGCGTGTAACCAATGGGTACTTCCTGCTGCACCTGGTGCTGATGAGGTTTTGCGCAAGCTGTGGGTGGCTCCGGCGCCAGCAACAAGCGCCAGCCGGGTGCCAGCTGGAATCAGCGTCATACTGAATACGAAAGACTCAGCTGGAGCAGCCCCCAGCGACCGCACAAGGACCATCAACAGCGCCGGCTCCGTCACATGGTGGAAGACTGCCTGGTCAACCCCTGCGGCAGCTAGCGAATGGTTGTGACCAGACGGGCAATTGCTGGCTTGGTGCAACGATAACAAGGTGAGGCAGCATGCCACTATCTTAATTGCAGGCTTCCGGTTCGCACAGGCACCCACCTTGCATCATGAGAGTGATCCGCACTCCAGATGAAGGCATAGCAGGAGCTGGTTTAGGGGAGGCAGCCATGGGAGAGGGAGGTGGGGGGCTGGGTGATGCGTGAGGCGGGGGGCTGGGTGACCCATGTGGCGGGGGGCTGGGTGATGCATGGGGCGGGGGGCTGGGTGATGGAAAGGAGGGCTTGGGCTTTGGTTTGATGGGTGCTTTGGATGGACGCGGGGATGCAACAATGG